TCTTTCGCTGCTCATCCAGGGGTGGGCCGACGGAATAGCGGATCCAATCACACGGTCGAGCCGGGAGACGGGACCTTCGTTTACTGGCTTTCCACGGGCGAGGTCTTCCCCGATTGCGAGGGCTCGCGACGGCTGTTTTACCATTCTTGAAATAGGACAGCCGGACAACCTTGGGTTGGAAAATGCTGGGCTTAACCCTTTTTCTTTTCCCATAAAAAGGGGTTCGAGGCGAATGGGAAACCAAGAGGGGGTGGGCAAGATGAAAAAAGTCTAATCATGGCCATGGTTTATGCACCAAAGGACGGACGAACACCGTATCCCTATACGCTTTCCACGCGTCTCCCAAAGCATATGACAACTCAGCAATTTCCGCACGTTCTCATGGGTTGACCGACAGTCAGTATGGCCTGTTGCGTGCAGCGGAGTACAGACATGAAAAAGTGTATGGGGAAAGGTTGCGCAGCATGGTTTCAGAAAAGAAGCAGGACCACCCTGGGCCGGACGCCCCCTATGTTTTGGGCTCCTGAAGCTGTCATTATTGTGACTCGTCTAGGGCGGACTAGGCCAATAACGCAAGACTTCTCCGAGCCTCCGACGCCTCCAAACTCGATCAGTCCACAGCTCGGTTATTCTTAGCACCTCGCAAGCAAAAAAATTTTGCCATGCAAATAGTGCAGCCATGTGATACCCCACTTCGACAACCACTACATCATCTGGTGGCTTGAAAAGACAATGGCCATGCAGACAATGATGCAGGCCAGGAAGCGCCATAGCCTGGATCGTAATTATCCTAGCATACCCCAGCAGATACGACACTACGCCACAAGACGGCCTGGTCCGCACAGATAGCGCTTTTAAATTACTTTGTATACGACAAGTTCATGAACTATCAATATCCAGCTAGGCTGCAACCAACCGCTTTGGACTTAGCAGTGCATCGATGCCAAGATTAATCGATCGAGCACAACCTTCGACGTGCCCCAAGAAAAACGGTCTGCTCCGGACTTTTACCAATACTACCATATATCTTTGCGAATCTTATCCTTCTCGCCCGAGACTCATGGCATTCAAAGTTTAGTATCCATCCGGAGAACAATTGATTAAAATGATCCGACGTACTCCGTAAATCCATCTCCCCTACCGGAACCGCGGATTTCCCACGACCCGGGGCTGAAGCCTCAAAGGAGGGTCTCCGTTCAAAACGTCATGCAGCATACAGATCAACCTTTTGTTTTCCCAAAGCAGGTCATGCAAGTAATATAAGATCTCGGCTCTAGCAGTAGCTAGTCGCTTCGAAATGCGCGCGCACACACACACACTTTACTCAATTATCTATTCATGCAAGAGGACCAAGAACGATACTACCCTCCTCAAGTCTGTTGGGATCGGATTGGGTCTCCGATCCCCATTCCAGAGTTTTGGCACCTCTCAAAGATACGACACCAAGCAGCCTAGTACCTTTAGCCACCGCTTGGACTAATAACATCCTGGCTTAGCATCTTAGTGACTGCCACAGCGGGACCCATGAAACGTATGCGAATTGCCCTAAATGGATAAAGCCCAGCCCATAGCGATACGGTGGAATATTCCGTGCGCAAAAGAGTGCGAGCGACCTGAGCCCCCGCGCGCGTGAACAAAAACATACTACTACGTACATACATACATACATACCCATTCAGCATACCAAGTGCTGCTCCAACCACACGGAACAACGACAGTTAAGGGGGGAACAATAATAGCCATTCTTGCCTGACATCAAGAAAGAAAGATCCATGACTTTCCATGCCTCTCGTTCGACCTCGGGAAGGAAACCCTGTCAACAACATTTCAAGGGTTACCCTTATCTGCCCGATTGCGATTAGTTCAAGGGATACTCCCCGTACGTCTACCAAAGTTCCACTGTTGTTACCAGTCGTCGTTGTTATCCAACGAGCGAGACAGTTGCTGCCTATTACACATTATTATTAATATCATTAGTATATTATTATGAGTATGATTATTATGGATTGCCCCCCTCTCCGATCCTGCCGGACTGGCGCAGAGACATCCACCTACTCTAGGCGCGCTACCCGACTTTCCCTAGCCGGCTTCTTCTTGTGATTGGGCTTTTAGACTTAGGGAGGAGCCATTGGCATTACTCGATTTTCATCTCTTTCGGTGTGTCTTCTCCTATACTAGGCTTGGCCCGTTGCAGTCTTCTCCAAAATGGTCTTCATCATTTCGTTGCCCAGCTTGACGGCTTCGGGGAATCGGGGAGCAAAGTACTGCTGGATCCGCTCGAACCGGTCGCGGTATGATTCGAAATCACCGAACGATACGCAGTCCGACCATGCCTGCACGATTTCATAGTGAATGACGTCAGTGGTGCTGTTGTTGTACAAATCGGAATAAATGTGCATTGGGGGAGGGGTTGGGTTCCCATCCATATCCATTGGACTGGAATAAAACCGCACAAAGGCGGCCAGGGTCTTTTTTTGAAGCTAAAACAGGGTTGGTACTCACGCGAGCTGCAAAGGTAAATTCCAGGTCATCCGAACGGAACGTCTTATCGTCGACTGCAGTGTCGAGGGCCGCCTCGAGGAGTTCGGGGTTGCGGAAGAGGTATTCCGTGACGCCCAGCCAGAGACGGAAAAGCTATATAGATTGCACGCACATGCGCGCGCGATGATTAGACTTTGACTTTAAAGCAACGTTACATCGCATAAATTGCGCGGGGAATAACAGAAAAAAATAAGATGAAGGCAGGAACGCCATGGAAAGCAAGGGACAAAGCAACTCACAGGCGTGGAACAGATCATATGATCGTAGGGGACAATGCCAAGTTTGGACCAACAGTCAACGATGGCAAGCAGACTGAGATGGCTGTTTGGAGGAGCCTGCTCACGTTCCCGGTTTGACAGGGAGAAACGGTCGAGAACTTCATCCTTCAACAGCAGATCCTGGCCGTTGGTACCCGCTTTGAAAACGGCCTCCCCTGCAGCTCTGACACGGCGTTTGAGTTCGTCTCGGCGGCCCTCAATCATGAGCTTGTACAGATCCGTCACGGACTCTGCATACTGCCGGATCTGCTTCTTCGCCGCTGGGTTCAAGATGGCAAGACCGGCGTACACGTGCCACTTGTTGGAGTAGATGCGTAGGGTGATGTTGATCTTCACGTTCTCAATGCCTCCCACCCAACGGTTAATCTCCCATGGGAATTGCTGGTTGGCCTGCCATGCTGTTCCCATGCTCAGGAAGGCCGCATGGGTGACGGCCTGGGTATCTGCCGTGATGCGGTCATGCATCTCTCCGGAGAGGAAAACGAACTTGGATTCGAAGCATGACAGGACTTCCTTGACGAAGTTGAGGCTTTCATCGGAGGCACGGTGCTGGATCAAGACCTAGACACAGGAAAGGCAAACGGGCGTTATGTTATCATTCATACATTGTCCTGTGCGATCTTGGGTCTCTGAGGGCATATAATATGCTCCAAGCAAATAACAGACAGGCAGGCAAGCAGGCAGACAGCAGCGTACCAGAGGTTGACCCTTGGGGTTGACTTGAGGGCCATGTAGCGAATGGCATGATACGATCTCTACGTCCTTGGGAAGGTGTTTGTCGAAAGCCGCGAGCTCAGGGGCTTTGCAGGACGTTTGACCACCGACGATTGCACCGACCTTGGTAGCTTTTTGTGTGATTTTCCACAAGTCAGACAGGCACATTTCAAATTCATGATGCAAATATAAGGGCGCAGCAAGCAAGCAAGCCTTTGCAACTTGAAATACATACACGGGCCATACATTTCCACTACCTTGTCGATGACACCGGCCTCTACACTGTAAATAATGTAATCGCTTATTCTGGAAACCAGGTGGCCATTGGGAAAGATAGTGACATTTTGCTTTTTGGTTTTATGAATGGATGAGTTTATGTCTGGACAGCGCGAGCTGTGAAGTATCATGGACGTACTGTGGATTCGAATTCTTTTATAAGACGCTCATACGAGTCGGGTTTGTCACATGCATTAATCCTTGATAGATAAGAAGAGTAAATAGTTAGTATAGCTAATCCAGTCCGGCTTGATGCTTTGCTCTAAAGATATACAACGCGAGAACCTAGTTTGGCAGAATGGTTAGCACAAGCCCATAATGCGCAAATGTGTGAATCAATCATCATAAATGTTGATAGCTTTGGGTTTCAGACAAAGAAATATAGGTAGCTGAGATGTTACATCATTGACGGTCTGGCGGAGTCGCAAACCTACCAAGGTAGGAAAGCTTACCTCCAGGCCATACTCGAGCCAAATGCACTCAAGTCATCATCCAAAGAGGGGGAGAGAAGCAGAGGGGGAAAGCGAGAGAGATAAGAACAGAAGGGGATGCTCACCTATTACAATAACACACACCACCAGGGTGATAATCGGAAACAACTGACTGGGAAGGACACTTGTTTAAATATTACCTCCATCCGGCAGCGCTCAGACGCTGGGCGTACATCTTGCCCATGTCTCCCATGCCAATGATGCCGATCGTGGCTGATTCCTTGGTGAAGCCCATGTTTGCTGGTTGGATTAGTCCTCGTTCAGTCTTGTTTGTTGTGAGAAACTAGGCTGCGCGACACGCTCAATTGAGCCAATAAACAAGCCAGCAGACAAAGCCACAGAGTCCGACTGTCTGCCTGATTGGATATGAGGAGAAAGAAGAAAGTTATAGCTCGGGAGGTTGCAGCAGAAATTTTAAATAGTGCTGGGAGGAGCACCAAACCGGGCCGACTGCCCATCCGGCGTTACAGTGCCTGTCACAGAAAGAGTCATCGAGTTGATTCACCGCGGTTCCGCGGCCTCAGGCTACAACACTCGCTTGCCCACCGCCCTTGATTAACTCTCAGCCAATCAGAATGTGAGCCACCGTGGGTAGGGCACACACCAGTCATTTTCTGTATCCAAGCCATTTGAGGCCTATCGAACTTCCCTTTTTCCTTCCTTTCCATATTCCATCCCACTACCCCAGCAAGTCGACAAAATGGCTCCCAAGAAGACCGCCGGTGCTGCCAAGGAGAACGTCTCTCTCGGTCCTTTGGCCGGAGATGGTATGTACAACCCAGTGCACTCTACAGAATTTACGATCGAGACCATGTCTAATTTGAGATGATTTGTAGGCAAGCTCGTTTTCGGTGTTGCCCGTATCTTTGCCTCCTTCAACGATACCTTCGTTCACGTCACCGATCTGAGGTTCGTCACATCTTAAAACACCCGATTATCGACTGCACGAAAATCCGTTCTCCGGAGAACATTTTGCGCCCCGCAATGGACGAGGAGCCGGATATCGTGGATTGTCGCAAAGGCTGTTCAGCGGAATACAGTTGGCTAACTGATTGGGATAACAGTGGTCGCGAAACCATCTGCCGTGTCACCGGTGGTATGAAGGTCAAGGCTGACCGTGACGAGTCTTCCCCCTACGCTGCCATGTTGGCTGCTCAGGATGTTGCTGCTCGCTGCAAGGAGCTTGGCATCAACGCCCTCCACATCAAGATCCGTGCCACTGGTGGTATGTGAACGAGCGCTATGAAAGCACCAACTTGAGAGAACAATCACTAATACTAGATATAGGTAACGGCACCAAGACCCCCGGTCCCGGTGCTCAGTCCGCCCTCCGTGCTCTTGCCCGTTCCGGCATGAGAATCGGCCGTATCGAGGACGTCACCCCCACTCCCTCCGACTCTACTCGTCGCAAGGGTGGTCGCCGTGGTCGTCGTTTGTAAGCATGTGCGGGTTCATCTCTTCCAAGTTATGCGGAGCTTCTCCGCATGGTTGGATTGGAGCGGACTTGGCCTTGCTTGCCGTATGTGGATGGAATAAACGCGAAGAACGGCCTTTATCGCCTGGTCTTCAATTTATTACATACCCAAAAGTGTGTCTTTCGGTTCTGGATTTAGGTAGTCTGCTGTCTGTGTGGCGGTTGCTATAGTCAATATAACTGAACCTAGAACTGATGTGGTCCTTGAGTGTAACTTGTATGTGTAGAGAATCCCAGTAAATAGAACATCTGTATAGAATCCTGCAACTTGACGCTGGCTATTTCCTGCACCTCGATATATCTTGTGCTTGTTAACGTAAGTCTTCAGGTCCGGCGAGCAACTGGATTTTGATCTTCCGTAGCCGGGCTCCTTATCCCGCAATCAAGCTAAGATAAGCACATTTTATCGATCGACCCAGAGCTCCCCTCGACCTTCCTGTCCCTACCACATTTTCTTACACGTCGATTCTAGTCTCCTCAAATATCTTCTATGTATTAATTACTCCCTCCGCCATACTCTGTGATATACCAACATCAACTGCCATTACCCCATCCGGCCTTAATCTGGTTTGACGTCAGCTTTGCGATTCGATCTTTTTACATGCGACACGACTAAACACAGCTATCCCACCATTAAGAAATCCAACTCACACTTAACGATACTCACAAGGCAGACATGACATCCACATCATCGCCCTCCCCTACGATTCTCGTCCCCCACCTCCCACCAAAGACCTTTGTCGGTATCGACCTCATAACCTTCACCTCGACCCCCAACTTCCACGGAATCCGCGACCTACCCTCAGGATGGCACTTCCTCTACACCGGAACAACAGAGAGTCTATCCCTCCGAAGCGGCGGCTGGTTCTACGTCGGTGACATAACCAAACTCAGCGAAGCCCAAGCCGGCAGTGCGCTCTCTCTTAGCAACCCCTCGCACCCCGGCGCCGACATAATTGTCTGGAAATGGAACACCGACACCGAGACCCTAGCCCCGTTAACCATCGACAGCGACGCAGACAAACAAGAAGCAATGCGCCATAAAGCGAATCTGGGAGCTATATGGCAAAGGGGAGGACTGTTCCGGTACCGCAGTCGAGTCTCGCCGGCGGCTTTGGCACAACAGAATGCTGGACATCCGGTACAGCTTGAAGTCGATGAAGAGGACGAAAAAGAAGGAAGACAGACTTGGAAGGGATTGACGGATAAATTGACGCCGCGGCTTTTGACGCGCGTTGTGGGCGATCCGGCTTTGGATGTGGATGGTCGGCCGCGGTGGATGGTTACGTCTGCTAGCTCGGCGCAAAGAGATACGGATGTTATACCTGGGCTTATGGATTCGGCGGAGGCGACGGAGGAATTGGAGAAGGTTACGGGGGAGAAGGAGAGTCAGTTCGGATTTCTGCCGGTTGATTTGAAGAGGACGTGGCGGGAGGGGGCGATTGGGCGTGAGAGGACGGAGGCTGCGCAGGATCGCTCGTGGGCGTTGGGGGACTTGATACACAGGGTTTCTCAGGGTGATGAGAGGGCTGGGGAGGATCAGGTGCTAGGGGAATTGCAGTTTGCGTTCTTGATGATCTTGACGCTCATGAATTACTCTTGTCTTCAGCAGTGGAAGAGGCTGTTGGAGTTGATTTTGACGTGTCGGGCGGCTATACGGGATAGAGAGGCCTTGGTGGCTGGGGTGTTGAGGTTGCTTTTACTGCAGCTCAAGAGATGTGATGATGTCGAAGGGGGGTTATTTGACCTTGATGGTGAGGAAGGTGGTGAGTTCCTGCGAAGACTACTTGTGAAGTTTAGACGATCGCTTTATGAGATCGTCGATGGGACAGAGTCAGTGGTGAAGGTGGAGTTTGACAAGCTCGAGGCTTGGGTCAAGGAGGAATATGACTGGGAGCTGAACCGGGAGGTCTTTGTTCGGCGGGGTATGGTTCAGCTGGAGGATGGTGAGCAGGTGGAGCTTGACATGCACGATGACGATGAAGACGACGAGCTAGGAGAGTATGCTCCGATGGTGGTAGATTTGGGAGACGATTCCGCGCAGGATCGTGTAGATATGGGAGAGGCTTGATGAGGCATCCATCAGCTATGCGAAAATATATATATAATATTACTTCTCAGGGCGTATATGTTTACAACTACCCATACTTATCATGAACAGACTAGCAGTGGGTCTGATCTTGATTTCCGGGATGGCACTGCAGATCTGTAGACTAGCAACTGCTGGGTGAATAGTATACTATCTGGTTAGTAGTAGTTAAAGCGGACTGGAATATACTATCTTTACTAGTACTTACGAGTAGTAGTATCTATCCTCTACAGATTATGCAACAACTTCAATCCAATACCACCCACAAGGTTCGAAACCTGATACCGTCTCGCAGCCATGAGCTACTTTAGTAGTATTTCCTACTTAAGCCTCTACTGGGGCAAAATAATGGCCGACGTAGTTAGTTTATAGATAGAACTCGCACCCAAGAACACACTCTGAACAAAAGATCTTCCGACAACCCAACACACTCGATCACCAAATGGTTATTTGTTATTGGAGACGAAAGTTCATGTCAAGAGTGATGTAGACCTGTCCTAAGATGACCAACTCAGGGACGGCTTCTACTGGCATGAGTATATTTGTATCTGGAAATAAATGTTAGTATAATCGTCCTAATGGTAGTAGTAATGTATGAATCTCTCGACTTACAGCGCTATTCCACATATCATCCTTTTCAAAAGTGCACTCAGACTAGGATAGCAGCAGTCAGTTACAGGCAACCACTGCATGTTGTTTCATGATGAGTTTCATCCGTTTACTTACCCCTGTGGGACATGTGCATTCCTTAGCAGGTGGCTTGAAGTCCTCCATCGGGTAGTCGGTAGTATAACGGCATTCCTAAAATATTAGGGAATAAGGTTAGTAGTCTGAATAGTCCAACAAGAGGTATACCAATAAGTAAAATATGGTCGAATCATGATAGATACGTACTTCATTAGCGTTGCAAATGTGATCTGAATCTTGGCCGGCATCCACTGCAGCCAAGGCTGGAGCAATAGTAGTAACAAGGAGGGTAATTGGAGTGAAAAGACGCATTGTCGGAGAAGAATTGGATGATATTATTCTGCGCGAACAGGTGTAATTAAAAATAAAAAAGTTTACTAGAGTACTAGAGTCGAAGGCTTGCATCATGTATATATATACATACATTTATCTTACTGGCAGTTAGTAATTATTGGATAACCAAAAGAAGGCAATCATTTAAAGCCTACAATATCTATTACGTAGTATGCTCAGAATGTCGCTGCACTTCGTTGAGGTTATGGCTACTAGTAAGAACTTGCATAAATAACCTGTCTGACTCCAAACTATCTGTACGGCTATATAATGTGTAGTCTCCACTAATTATTCCAATAGTGTATGGTAGTGAAAAAAACTTAATAAATGCAAGGATGCCACACATCTTCATTACTAGTGTTCTGTTTATATATACATGGTTGCACTTTCTATCGGGTTCAACTGTAGAATACTACTAGCATCGGAGGCATCCGTTCAAAACCAACGCGGCATGTCACATGAGTCTATCATTCCACTCTAAAAAAGTACCAGAGAAATAAAGTCAAGTATATACAGTAGCTCTAATCCCTTCCTGCAAAACATCGTCATCATCATGATCATCATCGCTGTCAGCGCTTATTGTTCAACTTCACCATCAATGACGTATCCCCACTCATGGGTCGCCTCGCCCTTCATGCCGAACATGATGGCCTCGAGCCAGGACTTGATCTGAGCAGCATATCCGGCGCGTTCAACACCAGCCTCCTGCATGTTCATATCTACGTCTCCGCTGCGGATGAGCTTGACAGGAGTGACGAAGTACTAAATGTCACAATTAGTCACCATACACACAGAGTGAAGTAGAAAAAAAATGGGAAAACTCACAGCAGTACCACAGACAAACGACTCCACGATCCTGCCCTCCTTCCAAGCCTCCTCGACGTCACCGATAGTGAAGTGCTTCTCAACAACATCAACAGGGGCCAGCTTGCCCACCGACTGAGTCAGGCGCTCCCTAGCCAACTCCAACACACTACGACGAGTAACACCCGGAAGAATGAGCTGACTCTCCAACGAAGGAGTCACCAGCTCCAGCTTCTTCGTCTCCTTGTTCTCCCACACTATGAAGAAGTTACTAGCACCCGCCTCCGTAACCTGACGATCCTCACCGAACAGCCACAGCACCTGATCGAATCCCAGCTCCTGCGCCTTGCCATGCGCCAGCAACGACGGACCATAGTTGGCGCCGAGCTTGGCGTATCCGAAACCACCAGGCCAAGCACGAATGCTATCAGGCTGAGAAGCGTAAAGCTTCAATCCATGAGGAACACCAGGCTGCTCGGACTGCTTCTTCGAAGGGTCGGGCCACGGCACGGCAATGATGAAAAGAAGGGCTTCCTTGGGTGTCTGGACGCCGAGGTGTGGACCGCTGCCAATCAACGCGGGACGGAGGTAGAGGAATCGACCGGGTTGATCCTTGGGTAGCCAACCTACAAAAGACGAGGATTTTGTCAGTTCATCGTGATCTCGGAAGTCACATCCAGCAATCGGGTTCGGGTTCAAACTTACGAGGTCCATCGATCTGCATCAACTTGGCAATGAGACGCTTGATCTCCTCATACCGGAACGAGGGCAAAGAGGTGCGCTTGGCGCTGTTCATCAGACGCTCGCCATTGCAGTCGGGCCGGAACAGACGCAGCTTGCCATCGAATCCCCGGTACACCTTCATACCCTCGAAGCATTCGGTGGCATAGTGCAGACACGAGGCCGTGGGAGGGATGCTCAGGTTCTCGAATGGTCGAACTTCAGGAGTCTCCCAGCCATTGGCGACGGTCCAACGAGCAGTGACCATGTGGTCGGTGCAGTGGGAGTGGCTCAATTCCTCGGGAGAGCCAGGAAGAGGCACATCGCGAAGGTTGGTCGAGCGGGTGACCTTGACGACGGAGGCGTCGAGCTCGGCGGGAGAAGGCGCAACAGAACCCATTATTGCGTTGATGTATGATTTGCGTGATTTGCGAGGGAAGTGATCAAGGAAAAAGAAAAGGTATTAAATAGGATATGCGGAATTAGTAAAAATTGATTGGGCGCGAGTGAATTCCGCAACGAAACAGGCTTTATGAGTCACCGAATAAGTTGACTGACCCTGGCGATCCGTTCGAAGTACCTTATGCGTCGACTTTCGGTTCCGTAACCCGAGCGGAAAGAAAACCAACTTAACTGCAGAGATGCAGAGATTGTTCGGGTGGCAAAGCGAGTGGTAAGAGAGCAATTGAGATGGCAAATTTTTTTTCTTTTTCTACAGACGAGGAGGAACCGATGATTCTATCTACTGAATTTAAGGAGCACCCAGACAAACCCCGCGGAGGGGAAAGGGTAAACCAAGAAAAAAAGTTTTTACAGTGACTTGCCGGTTCGGGTGCCTTGATTCTATGGGACAACTCCTTTTTTGCCATCGATATCCGAGTCTCCACGCGATATGCAACGTCCCGCCGTTGTTCTTGACAGGGCGCGAACTAACAGGACATAACGGTGATAGGCTAATGTCCGTCTCTTTGTCGCGTCAATTGGGTAACAGATTCGATACATTTCTATATCTGACAGCGGACTCCATCGTATGCATATCGATCGACTTGATGCGTTGAGCCCCTCGTACCGATGCTAACCGAAGGCGGTGTCGTCTTCTGATTAGATAGACGGCGGCTTATCACTCCGGAAACGGAGGGTGAAAGGAGTCATGTTCGCCTTGATTAGGCAATATCTTGAAAGGTTACCCTTTCGCTTAACTGAAAGGTCTTTGTGGCCCAGGTAGGTATTGATTAAGAGCTTGTTGAATGGTTAGCATAGCTGGTCGACTAGAATCAGCTTCTTTCTGGCCTTCCAGCTTTTTCAGTCTCAGAGTATGATTGTCCCTTTCATCGAAAGCGGACACGGTATTTATTTATTGGTGCTTAGATTCCGTGGGATTTTCACTGCGAGCCGAATAGTCCCGTCACAGGTATATGTGGAGGTGAAACAATTTCTGCAGAGTACTTCGATCCATTGACCTCCATACCTACGCCCGACCGAGAAGTGCGGGTTGCATTCCACAAAAGTCCAGAGGCACATACCTTTTGAGTTAGAGCATCTGGAGCAAATAAAAAGCAAAATTTACTAGTTATCCTTGGCTATCATGAACCCGCATGGACCCTCGGTAGAGCTAGGAAGGCTAGAAGCACCCAGAAAGACTGGAATGCCGTGGATGCATGTTGCAACCTTTTTGATTGGAGACAACAGATCATTAGTAGTGTGACTCGAGTGCTTGTCTGGAACTTTATTAGCCAACTCCTGCAGACACCGCACGCAAGGATAAAGAAAAGCCTCGGGGTTTATTTGAGCCACATGGACAGCCCAAGTGGTGAAGAGAAGACTGTAATGGGGAAAGCACTTTGTACCACGGCTACTTGTATAACCATGGATGCCCAGCTCTTGGGTCTCCTTTCCCGGTGGTGCCCGAACAGAAGAATGTTATTGTCGGGTCGTCGGGCTGCCTGTCAGTATCCTCAACGGTGAGGTTGCAGGAAGAAGGGAGGGGGGCTATTGTTGAGAAAAATAAACCGTCCATGCCGAACGTCTAGGCAAGCTGTCTGTAGGGCCAGATGGCCTACGATGGGGCGGAGACCGGGTCTGCATGTTTGATTGGCGCTCAGACCGCGGAGGTAAGGTAAGGAATGAGTTGTGATGATTGGATCGATGCTTTTCGGTGCAGAGAGAGATATCATGCCAAGCGCTTGGACCTTACTAACGTCCACCCCCCCTGGCAGACGCCGGCCGAAGAAGCGTTGCCCCAGAGTTCGAGGAATTTGAAATGCTGGGGAGCTCGCGTGCTGCTGGTATGCAAAATCGGGCCATGGTCCAGTCATCGTGATCGGTGGCGATATAGGAAAGGAGGGCCAGCATCGGTTGACACCAACAAAATGTAAGTAAAAAAGCCTGGTTCCCCTCGTAACAGAGCGAAGATTGAAGGAGGCTCATGTCACAGTGATGTAAAAGGCCGTTTCTGCGCAAATCGGACGTGCTGCGGGCTGTCAGGTGATCTGACCCATTCATCGTGACCCTCTGCTGAGAGTATTCCAAGCCGCGTGTGCACACTTGCCTCCAGGATCCTACGGGAACAGATGACCGGCCCAATGTAACTCTGGACTATTAATGATCGACAGGCGCGACCCTCGCCGCAGGTTCTATGTGGAGATGGGATTTTGAGCGAGCTCGCGCCCCTCCCGTCCCTATACTGCAAGGAGGATAACAGCTTGGTGCATAGAAATGCGCCCCAGCGCATGTCATACTCTGTCAAGAGAATATGGATCTCTGGTCCTTGATTTAAGCTTATGACACGAGAGCTCTAGTTTCTGGTCACTCAGTCCCACTGCAAGAAGGCTCTGTTCTCAAGTCAGTAGACCCAGTCCCAACTCGCCATCTTGTACCCGCTCAGCCGAGTTTGCTACGAGGCGTCACGCCCACGGAACTTTGCACCGCACAACCCACATTGGCTCGAGCAAGCCACATAAGCCGGCGCCAATATCGAGTTGCTAACCAGGATCAGTCGAAGAAACTGCTGCGGGGCCATGCCATGGCAGTCTAGAACGGAGCATCATTCGCCGCGTAGTAAGGACGCAGTGAGAGGATGCGAGCCCCCATCCTGACAGGCGAGCCGGCTGGGCTGATGTAAGAAGCAGTCTGGTTCGGTAGCTATTCGTTTTCAAGGAGTGGACCGGCGACCTGATTTATGGTGGACCTCAACCTCTACCAGTCTAGGATCTGGAGTCCTCTAGCCAGTGCTATTCCATTGTGTTGCGGGTCGGTGAACGTTTCCACCTATTGTATTTGCTGCATATCGGGTGTCGGCTTAGAGCACCTGTCTGCCATATTGCCCGCCTCTTTTTCCATTTTATCCCTCCGCCTTGTGTGCTTCGCCAAAAACTCTCCCTTACTTTGTTTTGCGGTTCGCTGGCCCGATGGCTGTTTTACCCGGCCTGTAAGATCGCTAGGAACGGATGGTACCC